AGCTCAGGGCTCTTGAAAATGGTTGTTTCATGCTCATAACTGCACCCTTTCAGATGTTGGAGCCAGGAAGAAGGGTTTCCTCTGTTTCTAGCTGGATACCCTTTGCCATTGATTCCAACTCATAGGAACATTATAGGACAGAGGAGAAAGTGCCCCAGTGGGTTTCCAAGGCTGTAATCTTTACGGAAGCAGGCTGCCCGATCTTTCTTCCGTGGAGCCGCTGCTGGGTTCAAACCACAGACATTTCAAGTACTTAACAACTGTGCCACCAGAGCTCTTTTCTAGCTGGATAGAGGGACCTAACTGGGGATCCTCAGGGACAAACTAATCCTGATTGAGTGGAGCAGACTTCGAATTGTTGGCATCTCCACATGTCAGGCATGGTGCTTTACGTACATCATCACCAAACCTCATCACAATGCTATAAAGGAAATAACCTTACCGCATTTGACAGTGAGATTCAGAGAGGGTAACATACCTAAGGTTGAGGCATCTGAGGTTCAGAGAGGGTAACATATCTAAGGTCACACAACTAGTAAAGGACAAAGCTGGGGTGTCAGGATTCAAACTCAGGTCTGACACCAAACCCCACATGCTTTGCACTGTCTTGTACCTGCCATACCACAAGATCGTATTTTGTGAGTGACCAGCATTTAAGCTGTGGCCTTACAGGGACCAAGGAAGAGGCCAGGGAGAGAGGGTGGAGGAGGAGGTGTTTGCATTAGGAGATCATGGAAACACTAATGTGGTTCACTTTACTCCCATACCAGGCTGTCAGACTGCTATGACTCAGTTTTCTTCCTCAGAGTAACCCTAAGAATTTATTTTCTTTTATTTTACCAAGAAAAAGAAATTGCCTGAACCCCAAAACTCTAATCATGAGCCTGGGCCCTGTGGTCTCTCTCCCAGGCCCCAAAGGCACATCCTACACCACAGGGGGCATCTGGAGGACCGGCTTCCCCAGCTCGGAGCTGGTTCCGCCCTAGAGGACCGGGAACCCTGTGGTCTGGCAAATGTCCAGCGGGTGGAGCCAGAGAGTCCTTGGGCCGCCTTGTGAAGACAGACAAGGCCTATCTGAGCATCCAGGCGGCGGCAGGACTCGGCTGTACGTGGGGATTTTTCTTTCTTTAATACTGTGGTCATAGACGTATACGGAGTTAGTTACATTCTTGGCAAAACACAACAAGCCACAAAGTTGAAATTTAAGCAGAATGGGAAAGGAAGGGATTTTTTACTTCAACTATAAATCCGCTTGCTGTAGGAATACCTCCTGACTTCTAAAAGGCAGCGGAGTTTTGTTCTGGGATTCTCACCTGCAAAGAGGGACGTTCTAAGGAAGCATTTGCATTTTTGCTTTCTCCTCACTGGGGAGAAGGGCAGATTGGCTTACAGAAAGCAAGTGGTGTACACCTTCTCCTCTCCACCCTCCCACCACGCCCTTGGGGATCTGACTGGATTCTGACAGTTGTGAAGAAGCCGCTATCAAGCCGAGGAGAAAATTGCAGCCCGGGAGCAGTTACTTCGCTCCAGGATCTACTCTGCGGCAACCTGCCCCAAGTTTCTAGCTTAAGTGCCATTATGTTGAACATTTCCAGCTGTAAATCTTTCCAAAAATATTTGTGGGTGAGGGTAGGAGCTAGAGGAAACAGCAGGAAGAAGAAAAGATGGACTCTAGTAGGATTATCGCTGGGCAAGGAGCCCGGGATGCCCACGATGGCAAAGAGGTTGACACCGTGTCAAGAAGAGACAGAGACATCAGGTACACGAACTTGGGGACCAGTTCCTCGGCATTGCTTTGGCTCTGGTGCCCAGAGTGGGAGGGGAAAACTGTCCATGGAATGCAGAGTGGGGCTCCAATATAAAACAGTTGGTGCCTCCCACCCAGCCTTATCTCCTCCTGAACGCTCTCCCTTTTCATATAGCCCAGCAGGGCTTTATCAGCCCTGCCTTCTGACACCGGGAAGCCAGCTAGAGTGTGAGTACCCTCCTCATTGCTATTAATTTCCAACTCTGCATTGCTTGGGGTTCGTCTGATTAATCCTCTCTAATTTTTGCTTTTTCCCTTTTTGTTTTTTTTTTTTGTTGTTAGTTGCAGTCAGTTTTCAACTCATAGCGACCCCATGTGACAGAGTAGAACTGCCCCATAGGGTTTTCTTGTCTGAATCTTTCTTGTCTGAATCTTTCTTGTCTGAATCTACGGGGTTGCTATGAGTCAGAATCAACTGGATGGAACACAACAAGAACAACAATCTTTACAGAAGCAGATTGCCAGGTCTTTCATGGAGTTGCTGGGTGGGTTTGAACCACCAACCTTTTGGTCAACAGCTGAGCACTTAACTGTTACACCACCAGGGCTCCTTATTATTATTATTTTTTAATGGAGAAACATGTTTCAGATTGTTGGAACTGTGCAGAAGCAACAAAAGCAGAGTTCTGGTCAATTTACTAAAGCCAGGGGCATCTTCCAGAACCTAAAATGCAGTGTCTTCATTCATGATTTTGGAAGCAGCACTCTAGCGCGTGTGGAAGAGGGTATGCAGCAAGGCGTCCTCTTAATGTGCTGAACGGCTTTCAGAGTTAACCAACATTGTAAAGGAGTTTCAGGCTGTGTTCTTGAAATAAGTAAAGCTGGAGGCATGTTTATCTACGGACTCAAAAGAAGAAAGTAGGGTTGTGGGTATGACCCTTTCCAATTATAGCTTACGGCTCTTCTGCATGTGATATCATGCTGAAGGAAGTCTGCAGAGAACACCCACCGAGAGAACTGTTGTTGTCTTGTGCCATTGAGTCAATCCCAACTCATGGCGACCCCATGTGGTACACAGTAGAACGGCTCCATAGGGTTTTCTTGGCTCTAATCTTTAGGGAAGCAGATAGCCAGGCCTTCTCTTCCATGATGCCTCTGAGTGGGTTTGAACTGCCAACCACAGCTTCTTCACCACCTGAGCACAAACTGTTTGCGCCACCCAGGGACATCGAGATAATAGCCCGTCACAATTTGAATTTGGCAGCTTCTTTGCAGCTGTACTTTCTGGCAGGTGAAATTCAGACCTCAAGGCTTCTAGGAGCGCTGCATTCCAAGGAGGGAAGTGTTTTCATCAGGAGACATGAATACCTGACAGTATCTTCTGTGTCTCTGATTATAGCTTTAAAGAATACGGAGCACCTCCTGCTACTTAAAATCAAAAATTATCTAAAATAAAAATTATTGTAAGTACCAAATCAATGTCAATACTGCAAGCCTCTTTACTATGATAGAGCCTGAATGTTTGAATACTTTCATATTTATACCCAAAACATTGTCTTATTTTTAGAAATGATATATGAGGCATAGAAAGTTGAAAACTTTCAATTGTACAAATTTCTAGCATGTGCTGACTATAGAACGAGTTTTATTTTCTGTAATAAAATAGGGAATGTTAGTTGAATTGAAATCCTGGTATTGTATTAAAATGATGAGCACTTTAGTTATCTGTACTGTGAAATGTGCTTTCAGATGCTTGCTGGAAAGCTCACCAGGTGCAGCTTCCATATGCTTGGGCTGTAAATTTCAGCACACATAGGACTTGTGGTAGGCATGGCAGTGGTGCAGGAGAGGGAGGCCCTCTTGAGGCACGGGGACATGTTTGTTTATCAAAAGAGTCAATGCCTCCAGTAAGAAAGGGCATAGGGTAAAACTGGCGATGGCAGAGCCCATTCTTTGTTGTTGTTCAACCGCCACCCCAAGGTTATTTCAAAGTGGCCATGAAGACAACGTGTGTCTCCTGCATCACTGAGCCTTAGCCCCCACTGTGACCCTGGCATACAGAGCTGTTCTCTCACTGGTCATTGACTTGAATAGACTCTTCGGTGGTATTACTGTGCCAGGCTTCACAGTGGAAGACAAGAAACACTGAGGCTTCCCATCCATAAGGCTAACTCTGCCTGCTACTTGCTGAGTGAACTCGGATGGTCCCCACTCTGGACCTCAGTTTTCAGAGTTGAGCTTTGCAGTCTTCAAAATCCCTTCTAACGCTCAAATTTTTTAAGATTTTTTTAACTCTGAGCTCTCAGAAAATATTGATGTTGAGCTCAAGGATGTGGTTCTCCACGATGCGTGTGATTTTGGTGGAGGGAGTAGGGGAGATACCTACACTGAAAGAATGTGACAGTCCCCTCTTGTCTCTTTCTTTCCTTTTATCTTCCATTCTTCTTTCTCTTTCTTTTTTTTAACCCCACATAAAATGACAGCCTCACCATTGGGTTTCTTGACATCGTTCTTCATCAAACAAAAATATGCATAACCCACCCCCCAGACACAACATTCTGGTACATAACTAGACATATCATTTACCATGGATAAACACACACACACTCATATACACACAATTTTTTCCTAAGACATGTCAGAAATATCTTCCACAATTGTGGATTTTTCTAAATTACTCTGGCAGAGTGTACGTTTTCAAGTTTCAGACCAAACCAGTAGAAGATAGTAAACGTGAAATAAAATAAATAACAGGGGGATAAAAGAAATACTACATATGTAACTTTTCTGGAATTTCTGAAGGAAGAATGATATCCTTGGATGCAATGGAGGTTAAAAAAAAACAAACTTATAAAAAGCTGTCAGACTTCTTGGATTGAATTAAGAATTGTTTATTATTAATAAGATAATTTCCAATATTTAAGAATTCTTATTCAGATAAAAGAAAAAGTGCCATTTAGCAGAGTCTTGGACTGGGATTTTGCTATGCATAAAGTGTGGCTAGTAATCTTACTGAGAAAGTAGAGCCCATGCCATCTCTTCCTGCTCTCACATTTCATAAAGAACAAGACTGGGCCAACTTGTTGCATTGGTGTTGCTCCCCAGGCTGGAGCCCTAGTGGTTTGTCCTAAGTGTTTTGGGGGCAGGCTTCAGATCTACCAACCTCGTGCAGTGGAGAAATGCAGCAGAAAAAAACTGTTGTCTCTCCTCACGTCGGCAAGCTCTGTGCTGATGGAGAAGCTGTATTGCCCCTTAGAGGTCTCCATCCGGGGCCACACCTCATCAGAAATCCATTGGACACACTCCTGCCTCCCACCATCTTGCATTTCACGTGCTCATCCCAGCCAAGATGAGCGTCCTGATAGTTCACATATTTTTGCCCTTTGTCCTGTATGGAGAGAAAGGAAGAATGAATGGACTGTCTTTGATTGGCAGTGCTAGTGATGCCCCTCATGGTCATCTTAGGACAGACCCTTTTGGGACTAAAGCCAGTGAGGCAGCTCGCAGAGGCTTCCGCCAGCTAAGTGTGGTACTTGCCTATGGGCCGGACAAAGAGGTAAGATGCCTTTGTGCAGCTTCTAGCACTGGGGAACCTCAGCACTGCGCTGCTAGCTGATGTGCCTTTTCTGAACGAGCCTGGGAAGCAGGGGTCAGCGAGCTCTGCTGAGTGGTGCGACTGTGGTTGAGCCAGATGCATAGGAGTCTTAGTCCAAAAAGTCACATGGCATCTACCTTGAAGGGTTAGATGCTGGACTATTGAGCTGCAGGGTTTTGACAGCCATGGAAAAGCTAGGAAAGAGCCTGGGATTTAAATTTTATTCTGCTTCTATTTTATTCGTTTCTACCCTTTTGTTTATTGTCCACTCTTCTTTGTTGAGATTAAGTGGTCTACCTAGTTGGGACTGAAACATTCCCATCAGTGGAAGGTCCTCGCTCAGTAGCCTAGCATTGCCTTCCCAATTAGGTGTGTGGCTTCTAAAGTTCCCTAAAGAAATGCAAATATTCCAGTATGAGAAAATTCTGGGGTGAGGTACAACTTAAAGGCACTCATTTCTCATAACCAGTTCTCATAACTGAGTTCTCTAAAGGTAGAGCAAGTGGCCAGTGCTCCCAGGGGCTTGAACGATTCAGTAGTACAGACAAATGGGCCCCGGATGCTGCAGATGGTTAAGCACTGGCCACTAACTGAGAGGTTGTTGGTTCAAACCCACCCAGAGGTGACTTGGAAAAAAGGCCTGATGATCTGCTTCCAAAAGGTCACAGCCATGAAAACCATATGGAGGGCAGTTCTACTCTAACACGCATGGCAGCTGGTGGGAGTGGGGCTCTGTGACAACATCCAAGTGTCTGCTGGAGTCCTGAGGAAAACCCTCTCTCATGAGGAGACCCCTCTCTCTAGGGCATCATAGCCCTACAACCCATCCTAAGATGTGGGTATTAGAGATACAAATTGCAATAAGCCTTCCATATGTCAGGCCGTGGATTTGGACAAAAATAGTTTTATCTTTATTTAGCTTTGGGTGGTTCAGCAGGAGACTCAGGCCATTCAGGTTCTCAGTCGTATCTGGCCAGTTATGTTATTGGGTTTCATATCTGTAATCTCCAGAATCTCTGAAGTGATGGAGTATTTAAAACCTTCTAAATAAATATATGCTTAAAATTTTGAGAGCATGAATTTGTGTATTCTGGAATCGCCTGTATACCTGGTTGTTCCTGTAGTAAATGGAAAAGGCCATTTTAATGTTTTTATGTCATGCTGCCTCTTTTTTAAAAAAAAAACAAAAACAAACCCGTTGCTGTTGAGTTGATTCTGACTCTCTAGGACAGAGTAGAGCTGCCCCATAGGGTTTCCAGGGAGCGGCTAGTGGATTCAAACTGCCGACCTTTTGGTTTGCAGCCAAACTATTAACCACGGCACCACCAGGGCCCCGCTGCCTCTTTCCATAAAAAGCAAACCCGCTGCCATTGAGTCGATTCCAACTCATAGCGACCCCATAGGGTTTCTAAGACCGTAAACCTCTACAGAAGCAGACTGCCACATCTAAACCTCTACAGAAGCAGACTGCCACATCTTTCTCCCATGGAGCAACTGGTGGTTTCAAACTGCCGACCTTTCAGTTAGCAGTCGATCACTTTAACCACTATGCCACCAGCTGCCTCTTTAGGACTTGTTAAATTCACCTATAGAAGCTCCAGGCGGTTTTATCTTTGAGCTTCTTGTCATTGTCTGGACTGATGCCTGATGCTTCTCCTAACTTAGTATGATCTTGAAAATAGGTCACTGTAGCTGAGGAAGGGGCTTACCAACTAATATTTTCAGTTATGAGGTTTAGAAAGGGAGATACCTGAAAACAAATGATAGACATCATTTAGAGAGATTATGAAGTAAAAAGCAAATCTTCATAGTTGCTTAATGATTCAAACAGTTTTATAGGCTTAACTATGGGGTCAGCCGAGCTCCCTACGGACTTAGTTATGGTTCCTGATCTTGAACAGTTTTCAATTTAAGAATTTCTTAATGCGAAGATTCATTGAAAGACTCACAAATGCTGGTGTCCAATGTTTTGTAAAGAGAAAATGAACTTGGTCTGGAATGCATTATATAAATAGCTCATACTTTGTGTAATGATTAGTGGTTCACTTTTGTCTGAAAAACAGAACAGTTGATTGGGCAGTGAAGTAATGTAATTGAAGTGTAATGGTTAGTCAGTAAAAAATCAGCTATCTACATTTTATTTCTGTAAGGGGATTAATAGGGGCAAAAACTAGGGTCAGGACTTGTAAAAAAAAAAATTGCATGGCTTCGTTATCTGTTAAATAGCTACATTTGTTGTGTATGGTGAAAGGAAAAACGACGGGGCCAAAAACCAAAACTAGCCATGGAGACCCCTTGCTCACAGCCTGGCCACAGGGAGAAGATGAGATGGTGTATTGTCTTGGTCATGGCCAGTGTGACTGCGGCCTCAGCATCCCACAATTACGCTTTCAGGATCTGATGGTTTTGATGCTTCCCTACTTCACATTCACCTGGCTGTGCTCCTGGCTTCTCTTGCACACTCAAGGTGGTTTTATTTTTGTCCTTCCCTCTTTGCCTACCTCCGTGATTCCATCATTGGCATTCTTTCGTATTTACCATCAGCACCATGAAACACTCATTCTTTGTCTACAGGGTACCGGATTCTGGTGATGCTGATGTTTTCCTGTTACATACTTCTCATGAGAAGTGAGTAGTCTCCTAGTGAACACAAGTCATGGTTATGTCGTTAGTATTTTCCCAAAACATGCTCATTACAATTATGCCCTGTACATTCATGTATCATACAATCCTTAGGTTTTCAACAACTTTGCCCACTTCCACCTTTCCCAGTTTCTATGTCTTTCTGGAATATCTTTCTTGCCTATTTTAAAACACTTCAATAACAAATTCCAGAACTAACAGTTATTTGAGGCTGTTGCCTGATAAAAACTCAATTTCAGGTAGTCTTTCAGGTGGAGAGAGTGTGTGAGGCATTTTCTTAGGCTGTTCTCCACACACAAACTGTTCTTAAAAATGAAATGCTTTTTCGTAAATTAAAATTTTAATTTGTAAGTCTGCTTTTCTTGAAAGTAGTCAAGTCTGCGTTAGTGAGCCGGCCATTTTACAACCCCATTTCTTGCGCCTCTGATTCAGAGCATGAACATTAAGTACTTGAGCTTCACTCTTTCTATATTATTATTTGACTCGTTGTGTTGAATGAACTCTTTTTCAGTCTCCTCTGCTAGACTGAGCTCCTTGAGTGCAGGAAGTAGGTGTTCAATAAACATTTGTTGAACTAGAAACTGCACTTTAAGAAATAGAAGACATTCCATGATCTCACCCTTGACATTGATGATGAGGGTGGTGTGGAATTTGGACTTAGGTAATAATCTTCTTCATGATATTTCAAGAGGAATATGGTGTTTTCTTATTCCCATGGGACATCATGGTCCTGATGAAGGGCTTTTAAACTCATCTTCTGTAGCTACTGTGACCAAGCCTAAAGCTGACCAATCTGGAGTGTGTGGCATACGGGATGTTTATAAGCTCTGTTCTTTTCTCAAGGAGCCAGAGGAAGAGATAGCCATGGAAGACAGCTCCACTATTGCTAAACTGGACCGGGGTGAAAACCACGTTTCCCCATATCAGGGGAGAAGGTCCCTCCCCAAGGCACTTGGCTACATCACTGGCAATATGAAAGAATTTGCTGACTGGCTTAAAGGTATTTATCTTCCATCCCTTGCAGAGATAGGAGAAGCAGATTGGGGGGAATGGTTTGCTCATTCTTGTACTTATATCTTTAGTTATATCCCCCAACCTTTTATCTATCTCTTTCCTCCTCATAATTTGTCTACTTTTCACCTTCTACTCTCCTGCAAACATCTTCAATTATTTTCATGGAGATAGTGGTCAGGGCCAGGGACCTGCTTATATTAGGGGAAGACATCTGGCTCAACACTGTAATTTCAATAGTTATCAACTGAAATTTTACTATTAGTAATTTATTCCTTTGGCTTAAAAGTCTGCACCTCTGAACATGGTAAATAAGTGCATTAGCTGCTTTCTGGAGTTTAGGTTCTAATGGGGGCAATGTGGATTGAGCATAAAGAAACTAGTTACTTTCAGGGATCTGGGTACCACTGAGAGGGCAAAGGGTTCAGAAAGAAAAAGCTTAAAGGAACATCAAAAATAGGTTTCACCTTGATCACAGGTAATTGTGATGATTTTGCTCTGGGCAGGTTCTGGTGTTGGGAAGGTGCATCACGGGCCTTGGTCACTTCCTTAGGTTTGCCCGTCTCATATCTTCCAGACAAGCCTGTGGTACTTCAGTTCATTGACTGGGTTCTTCGGGGGATGGCCCAAGTGGTGTTTGTCAGCAACCCCATCAGTGGAATCCTGATTGTGGTGGGACTTCTTGTCCAGAACCCCTGGTGGGCTCTCACTGGCTGTGTGGGAACCGTGGTCTCCACTCTGACGGCCCTGCTGCTCAGTCAAGACAGGTAGGAGGCCAACCAGTGACTGTGGGCCGAGTGATAACACCACACCCTTCTCAGGAGAAACAACGTTTATTCCACAGAACTCTTTATATTTGCCCTTGGTCAGAAGTCAGGGAATCATTTATAATCTTTGATTCATGGTGCATGAACAACAATGAGTAAGTGGTCAGTCTGAATGATGCCAGATTCTCATGGCAGTGCATGTAACCAGAACTAAGCTGCAAAGTAATTTCCAGGAGAGCTTCTGTAAGGATCTTCTTCACTGATTGATTAAATTATTTATCATTAGCATTTCGTTTGTTTGGGCAAAAATTCTAATGAGTTCATGAAAAGTCTTGGTGGCATAATAACCCTCATGATCGTGTTTCCACAATTAGTTGAGCAAACTTAATCTTCATAGATAGTGCAAAGGTTAGGCACAGCTTCTGTAGAGATGAATGATTGTAAATTCCAAGTTAGCAAGTTCTGACTTAGAAAGCTTGAGTGTGTCTTCTGAAATATATGTTAGGTTAAAAATAGCATCTACTTCATAAATTGATCTATCATTGAATAAGTAATCAGCTGACTCCCACCAGGGAAGCAGGTGGCACCTGACTACTAATTCCTTCAGGTGCCAGGATCAATGCATAATCACCAATGCAGCTATGATCTTGTAACACTTACTGTAAATTGCCTAAGGAAGTTCTCTAGCAGACAGTCAGCAAATGTTCCGCTTTCCCATCAGGTCGAAGAAGCCTGATTTGCTCCCTGTAGAGGATGGTTTTGTATCCTAAGTTCAACCCTATTGCAACACACACCAACAAAATGATCTTCCAGTTGGGGGGTGTGGGCTAGAATTGTGCCATATTGAATTCCTTCATTGTTATGTTCCAATGAAAGTTGACCTCATATTCCTTATCAGTATTATTTATAAAACAAGCCATATTTACATCTGTTAATTTTCAAATCTCTTTTTACTTTCCTTGGTGTTAAAGGACTGTATTAAAATTGCAGTCTTCTGTTTTAGGTGAATGCCCGTCTTCCTATTTCTTTAACCATGTCATCTCACAAGCTGTTGAGAGTGCCATTCATTTGCCATTGAAGAAACTCAAGCATTAAATCTCCAACTTACTTGTTGAGAGGACAAGTCTTTGCATAGCTCTCCACTTGCATCGTATATAATCTCAACTGCTGAAGAGCGTTGTCAGCTCCTGTTGTTATTAGTTGCCATCAAGTAGATTCTGACTCATGGCAGCCCCATGTGTACAGAGTGGACTGCTCCATAGGGTTTTCAAGGCTGTGACCTTTTGGAAGCAGATCACCAGACTTGTCTTCTGAGGCAACTCTTGGTGGGTTCTAACCCCCAACCTTTCTGTTAGTAGTCGAGCACTTAACCATTTGTGCCCCGCAGGGACACTTCCTTCTCACTTCCTAGGCTAAACCAATACAATTTGCATCACCTCCCACAGTCCTGAAGAATTATTTAAGAGAGGCAAAGTTCTTTTGAATACGGATTCCCACCTGGAATGCTCTTGCTCAGAAGAATGTCCCTGACATCATCTTGCCTGTTGAATTATTGCCTCCTGCCCCTAGTTAAAAACAGCCAAGAAGCTCTCATGCCTTCAGTACTCTCTCATAGTTGCAAGGCTTCCTGGCTGCCATCACCTCCCTCTAGGGCCATGCATTCGACCTTACCCACACACATCACCGCCTTCACACGCCCATGGCCCTCACAGACATAGTCCCCTGAGTGCTGGAGTCTTGGGAAGTCAATCTGTGCCCTTCATGGTACCAGACATGAGCAACTCTCAGAGCACTGATATGGGGAGTGGCAGGGGCGGGGACGGGGGGCTGGCTCATCAGCCTTGCAGCTCATTCTACAGAAATCATTCCATTTCTCACTCAGGGCTTCTAGTTCCCAGTTATGAAATGGGAACAATTTTGGCCATGAGTAAAAACTTACCTGCAGGATAACATTTGGAAGTGAGGTTAAATGTTGAACAGAAAAGAATTAGGTATTAAATATGCACACAATTAAATGAGGGTGATTTTGGCAAGTAAAGGAAAAGTAATTGTTTTTCTTTTCGATAACTTGGAAGTGTATGTTTGCAGAAAACAAAATGGAAGGATAGGAAGATGAAAATGTATGCTAAATTGAAAGGTTCACGTTCATAGGGTCAAAGACACTATAAAAGTAAATTTACATTTCAGGAGTCTTATATCTCTCCCAAGAAATTAGACTTAGGAAACAGTTTATATGTAAAAGCTCTATTCAAGGCAAAGGCACTTAATGATATAAAGAAGCAATAATAACTTTCTGAAGGAAAGACTAAGAGGAAGTAGAACATGTTGTCTTGCTAATTTCTCTTTCCTCACCTTAGACACTGGAGTTCAATCTTCAACCATGATACTGTGTGTGGGGGACGGGTGTTACATATGTATATTTGTATTTTTACCTACGTATATTTTACTTTTTCATGTTTTTATTCGTATTGGTATGATGCTTACATAGTCCTTGAGATAAATTTCCAAATGTAATCTCATTTTCTAATGCGAGAATGATCTGGAAGTTACAAGTGTGATTTTTGTGCAAGGCCAGCCAAAGTCTACCCAGACATATTCATGCTCTGCCTCCCACCCACAGGTCAGCAATAGCTGCAGGGCTCCAGGGATACAACGCCACCCTGGTGGGAATACTCATGGCTGTCTTTTCAGACAAGGGAAACTATTTCTGGTGGCTGTTATTCCCCGTATGTGCTATGTCCATGACTTGGTAAGTTGCACCAGGTTTTCAAAATGTCTTTATTTTAAAAATTTAGATTCAGGTTATATCTACTAGAACCAGAAACAACCATTTAAAAAGATGTACGTTTCCTCACAACCAGTTATTTGGCCTTATGTCTGATCTCTCTACAACGTCCACCAATACTTTCCCCTTAACCACCAGTGCCAGCTGCCGTTGAGTCAGTCCAACTCATGATGATCCCATGTGTGTCAGAGTAGAACTGTGTTGTCAATGGCTGAATTGTTCCAAAGTAGATTGCCAGGCCCTTCTTCCAAGGTGCATCTGGTGAACTCGAACCTCCAAACTTTTTTAATTTTTATTGTGCTTTAGATGAAGGTTTACAAAGCAAATTAGTTTCTGATTAAAAAATTAATATATGTATTGTTTTGTAACATTGGTTGCCAATCCCACAACTTGTCAACGCTCTCGCCTTTTCGACCTTGGTTTCCCCATTATCAGCTTTCCTGCCCCCTCGTGCCTTCTTGTCCTTCTCCTGGGCTGGTATGCCTATTTAGTCTTGTTTTGTTTTATGGGCCTGTCTAATCTTTGGCTGAAGGCTGAAGCTCAGGAGTGACTTCAGTACTGAGTTAAAAGGGTGTCTGGGGGCCATACTCTCCAGGTTTCTCCAGTCTATGTCAGACCAGTAAGTCTGGTCTTTTTTGGAGTTAGAATTTTGTTCTACATTTATCTTTAGCTCTGTCTGGGACCCTCTATTATGATACTTATCAGAGCAGTCAGTGGTAATAGCTGGACACCGTCTAGTTGTGCTAGACTCAGTCTGATGGAGGCTGTGGTGATTGTGGTCCATTAGTCCTTTGGACTAATCTTTCCCTTGTGTCTTTGGTTTTCTTCATTTTCCCTTGTCCAGATGGGTTGGGACAGTGGAGTATCTTAGATGGCCACTCACAAACTTTTAAGACCCCAGACGTCACTCACCAAAGTAGGATGTAGAACATTTTCTTTGTAAACTATGTTATGCCAGATGAGCTAGATGTCCCCCAAGACCATGGTCCCCAGCCCTCAGTCCAGTAATTCAGTCCCTCAGGGAGTTTGGATGTGTCTATGCAGCTTCCATGACCTTGACTTAGCCAAGCTGTGCTGGCTTCCCCAATGTCGTGTACTGTCTTAGCCTTCACCAAAGTTACCTCTTATCTGTTGTTGATTTACTGTTTTTCCCTCCTCACCCCTTCCCTCCCTCATAACCATCAAAGATAGCTTCTTCTTGTGTGTAAACCTTTTCATGAGTTTTTTATAATAGTGGTCTCGTATAATATTTGTCCTTTTGTGATTGACTTATTTCACTCAGCATAATGCCCTCCAGATTTATCCATGTTGTGAGATGTTTCACAGATTCATCACTATTCTTTATCATTGCGTAGTATTCCATTGTGTGTATGTACCATAGATTGTTTATCCATTCATCTGTTGATGGGCATCTAGGTTGTTTCCATCTTTTTGCTACTGTCAACAATGCTGCAATGAACATGGGTGTACATATCTCTATTTGTGTGATGGCTCTTATTTCTCTGGGATATATTCCTAGGACTGGGATTGCTGGATCGTATGATATTTCTATTTCTAGCTTTCTGAGGAAGCGCCATATCATTTTCTAAAATGGTTGTACCATTTTGTATTCCCACCAGTAGTGCATAAGAATTCCAATCTCCCTACTGCCTCTCCAACATTTGTTATTTTCTTTTTTCTTCAGTCATGCCAGTAATGTCACAGTGAGATGATATCTCCTAATAGTTTTCATTTGCATTTCTCTAATGGCTAGTAATCTCAGACATTTCCTCATGTGTTTGTTAGCTGCCTCAATGTCTTGTTGTCTTGTTGGTGAAGTGTCTGTTCATATCCTTTGTCCATTCTTTAATTGGATTATTTTTCTTTTTTTGTTGTAGAGTCATTGGATTTCCTACAGATTTTAGAGATTAGACCTTTGTCAGGTTTGTCATAGCCAATTTTTTTTCCCCAGTCTGTAGGTTCTCTTTTTACTCTTTTCAAGTCTTTTTATAAGCATAAGTGTTTAATTTTTAGAAGATATCATTATATAGCTTATCTTCTGGTGTTTGTGTATTTTTAGTTGTGATTTGAATCCTGTTTATGCCATGTATTAGGGCCTCTAGCATTGACCCTATTTTTTCTTCTATGATCTCTATAGTTTTTGGCTTTATATTTAGGTCTTTGATCCATTTTGAATTAGTTTCTGTGTATGGTGTGAGGTATGGGTCCTGTTTCATTTTTTTGCAGATGGACATCCAGTTTTGCCAGCACCCTTTGTTAAAAAGACTGTCTTTTCTCCATTTAATGGACTTTGGGCCTTTGTCGAAGATCAGGTAGCTGCAGGTGGATGGATTCACATCTGGGCTCTCAATTCTGTTTCATTGGTCAACGTGTCTGTCATTGTACCAGTACGAGGCTGTTTTGACTACCGTAGCTGTATAGTAGGTTCTGAGGTCAGGGAGTGCGAGTTCTCCTACTTTATTCTTTTCTTCAGTAGTGCTTTCCTATCCGAGACCTCTTCCTTTTCCATATAAAGTTAATAATTAGTTTTTCCATCTCGTTAAAGAATGCTGTTGGTATTTGGATCGGGATTGCATTCTATTTGTAGATTGCTTTGGGTAGAATTGACATTTTCACAATGTTGAGTCTACCTATCCATGAGCATGGTATGTTTTTCCATTTATGTCGGTCTCTTTTGGTTCTTGCAGTAGTGTTTTGTAGTTTTCTTTGTATAGGTCTTTTACAACCCTAGTTGGATTTATTCCTAAGTATTTTATGTTTTTAGGGGCTATTATAAATGGTATTGCATCCCTGATTTCTTTTTCATTGTTCTCTTTATTGGTGCATAGGAATCCAACTGATTTTTGAATGTTTATCTTGTATCCTGCTACTCTGCTGAATCTTTCTATTAGTTCCAGTAGTTTTCTTGTGGAGTCTTTTGGGTTCTCTGGGTATAGTATCATATCATCCACAAATGGGGACAGTTTTACTTCTTCCTTACCAATATGGATAAGCTTTATTTCTTTTTCTTGCCTTACTGCTTTAGCTAGGACATCCAGCACAATGTTAAACAGGAGTGGTGATAAAGGGCATCCTTGTCTTGTTCCTGTTCTCAAGGGGAATATTTTAAGCCTCTCTCCATTAAGAATGATGTTGGCTGTTGGTTTTATATACATGCCCTTTATTATGTTGAGGAATTTCCCTTCTATACCTATTTTACTGAGAGTTTTTATCAGGAATGTGTGTTGGACTTTGTCAAATGCGTTTTTGGTGTCAATTGAGATGACGATTAATTTTTCTGTTTTATCCATGTGGTAGATTACCTTGATTGATTTTCTAATGTTGAACCATCTTTACATCCAGGTTTGAATCCCACTTGGTCATGGTGTATTATTTTTTTGATATATGCTGAATTCTATTGGCTAGAATTTTGTTGAGAATTTTTCCATCTATATTCATGAGAGATATTGGTCTATAACTTTCTTTTTTGTGGTGTCTTTGCCTGGTTTTGGTATCAGGGTTGTGCTGGCTTCATAGAATGAATTCAGAAGTATCCCTTCCTTTTCTATGTTCTGAAATAGTTTGAGTAGTACTGGTGTGAGCTCTTCTCTGAATGTTTGGTAGAATTCTCCAGTGAAGCCTTCTGGGCCAGGGCTTTTTTTTTTTTTTTTTTTCTTTGGAAGTTTTTTTGATTACATTTTCAGTCTCTTTGCTTGTTAAGGGTCTGTTCAGATTTTTTACTTCGATTTGTTTTAGTTTAGGTAGGTAGTGTGTTTCTAAAAACTTGTCCATTTCCTCTAGGTTTTCAAATTTGTTGGAGTGTAGTTTTTCATAGTACTCTGTTATGATCCTTTTTACTTCAGTTGAGTCTGTTCTAATGTCCCCCATTTCATGTCTCATTTGGGTTATTTGTGTCCTCTCCTGGTTGTTGTTTTTCTTTTTTTTTTTTTGTCAGTTTGGCCAATGGTTTGTCGATTTTGTTGATCCTTTCAAAGAACTAACTTTTGGTTTTGTTGATTCTATTGTTTTTCTCTTCTCTATTTCACTTATTTATGCTCTGATCTTTATTATTTTCTTTCTTCTAGTGACTGTGGGCTTCTTTTGCTGTTCTCTTTCTGTTTGTTCGAGTTGTTTAGCTAATGTTTTGATTTTGTCCCTTTCTTCTTTTTTGATGTGTGCATCTATTGCTATAAATTGACCTCTGAGCACTGACTTTACTGTGTCCCAAAGGTTTTGGTATGATGTGTTTTCATTCTCATTTGATTCTAGGAATTTTTTTATTCCATCTTTGATTTCTTCTATTACCCAGTGGCTTTTAAGCAGAGTGTTATTCAGTTTCCATGTATTTGATTTTTTTCCCTTGCTCTTCCTGTTATTAGTTTCTACTTTTATGGCATTGTGATCAGAGAAGATGTTTTGTATTATCTAAATGTTTTGGATTTTGTTGAGGGTTGCTTTGTGGCCTAAGATGTGGTCTATTCTGGAGAATGTTCCATGTGTGTTGGAAAAGAATGTGTACTTTGCTGCTGTTGGTTGGAGTGTTCAGTATATGTCTATGAGGTCAAGTTGATTGATTGTGGCCTTTAGATCTTCTGTATCTTTGCTGAGTTTCTTTCTAGATGTTCTGTCCTTTACTGAGAGTGGTGTGTTGAAGTCTCCTACTATTATTATGGAACTGTCAATTTCTCTTTTCAGTGCTATTAGAGATTGTTTTATGTATTTTGAAGACTTGTCATTGGGTACATAGATGTTTATTATGGTTATATCCTCATGGTGGATTGTCCATTTAATCATTATATAATGTCCTTCTTTGTCTTTTGTGGTGGATTTTGTTTTAAAGTCTATTTTATCTGAGATTAGTATTGCCACTCCTGCTCTTTTTTGGTTGCTATTTGTTTGGTATATTTTTTTCCATCCTTTGATTTTTAATAAATTTATGTCTTTGTTTCTAAGGTGTGTCTCTCATAGACAGCATATGGATGGAT